AAAGAACCTTTCTAAACAGGTCCACTTCCCCATATCCTTTCTTTTCCACTACCTCTGATGGGTGGCAGGTTACAAGGGAGGTTAAAGTATTTAAGAACATCATTAAAAATAAGGATAGAAAAAATTAAAATTACACTAAAGAATCAATAACAGACTATATTTTTTAAAAAATTCTATGTGTGGGAATTAACTTTTTTACGTGTGGGCGTGAGTGTTATATGTGTACATGATAGTAGTCAAGGGTCAACAATTCAGATACACTTTATGCAGATAGGTAGTCTTCAAAAACGTCAGAAATCCACAGACTATGGCATTCAATATTGATTCATTGTTAGAGATCATTTGACTAGAAACATGTCTGCTCCTGACAGCGCCCCCTTCTTGATTCAAAGAAGAAATTGAGCATCAAAACCTCCATATGGAGCTGCTCCAGTTATGGCAAGGTAGCCACTGGACAAGAATTACTCTGTTCATCTACAGACAAAAAAATACTATCCAAGAAAGGATGCGCAGTATAGGATAGTGGACAGTTTAGAACCAAGCCCTTCATAATTCCTGCTTCATTTCAAGGTCTGTCAGATGTTCTGGGCCAGAAGCTTGAATATTGATGTTCCAGTGTTTTGAGGAATGAGGGACTGTCCAGGTAGTCAGCTGTCTCTACAATTTGGCTATGTTTTAGAAGCTATGTTTGGTGCTTCCTTTATCTTCAGGTAATATTAATTCATTCTCAGATTTCTGACAGAGTTGAAGACTAATTATAGTCTCATAATCAAACTCAAGTTGTTTAATTAACATCGAGGGAGATGGTATAGAAAGGATGGTTTTCAGATGGTAATACAAATTAAAGTCATAATATAATTCAGATAAAGAATTGTAAACTCTTTAAGCCAGGATAAATAGTAGGGTACTTTATCTAATTGACAACTATGATGGACCAGATATTAATTGTATAGCATACTTTGTAACTTACATAATTGTTATGGTTATGCTCAATTTGTATCTGACAGAAAAGCCCCCCCCTTTTTTTTTAAATTTGGACAGAAAGGGTGAGATGTTGGGAATTGGTTCTAATGCTTTGTCTTATTTTGGCTCCCAAAAGCCTCGCCTCCAGACCTGAGGGTCCCTGCTCCCAGCTGGCTTCGATGGATAATAAAGAATTGCCAGACAGCCAATGGCTGGGCAGAGAGACAGGCCAGGACTTTTAGATTGCACAGGCAAGGGACCAAGAGAGAAGGGAAGAGGAGAATCGTCATGACACGGAGGCAGAGGGATCAGATTTAAGACTGCAGGAGAGAAACCATCCAACAGTGTAGGTGGAAAGGGAACAGAGCCTATGGGGAGCTGCCTAGACGGTAACAGGGCAACAAAGATAAAATATAGATATAAAGGTGTTAAGCCAGGAGTACCAGAGGGAAGTATGTGCTAGCTGTGGGGAGGTTTAGAAATGCCCAGCCATTGAGCTAGTCATAACATATCAAAATTAACTGTGTGTGTGCATGTGTGTGTGTGTGTGTGTGTGTGTGTAATCTGGAGCGCTCTTGGTGGGTGCAGCATGCATGACCCACTGGGAGCCAAAGAAGTTTAACTAATTCTCTGCTACACATGACGTATGTACAGACACGTGAGTACAAATGCCTTTGCATGTGCCAGGATATCAGATGTCCTGCTCCATCCCTCTCCCTCCGCCTTACTACTTTGTGACAGGGTCTCTCACTGAATCTAGAACTAGGCTAGTGGCCAGCCAGCCCAAGCCATCATCCTGACTTCACCCACCACAGTACAGTCACACTTAGCTTTTTACATGGGTGTTGGGCATCTGAATTCGTGTTCTCATCAAGTGCTCTTACAGAGCCTTCTCCTTAGCCCCCACTTGTGTGAGTCTATCTTAAATAAATAATTAGACAGATATTCAAGGATACAGCTACAAGAATGCTCATAAAACATTCCCAACAGGAAAAAGTTGAAGGGGTGAAAATGTAAATTTCTTTTCAAGAAGAGATTGACAAAAATAAATTTGCTCCAATTCTGTGTTGCAATACTATGAGGTCATAAAGTAAAGTAAGGCCTTCAATGTGTCTAACTAGAGTAATGTATGTAATATATTCTTTATTTTGAGGTAGGGTCTCATTATATAACCCTGGATGTCTTAGAACTCACTATGTAGTACAAGCTAACCCCGAGCTCACAGTGACCTGCCTGCCTCTGCCTTACGAATGCTGGATTAAAGGTTCACCACCACACCAGGCTTCATGGTATACTTTTTGTCTTTTAATGTCATAAAGGTTCAAAACATCTTACTGAAGGTATAATGTATACAAAATGTATAATTTTGAGTGTAGTTAAATTAATTGATGGTCCCTTTTGTGTGGTGCTGGGAGTTAAACCAGAGTCTCAGCTGTGGTAGGCAAGTGATGATCTACCAGTGAGCTGTAGCCCCGGATCTACAACACACTTAAATTTTATACTGAAAAGTTAAATTATAGAATACAGAGGCTGGAGGGATGGCTTAGTGGTTAAGAGTGCTTGCTGCTCTTTCAGAAGACCCAAGTTCAGTTCCTAGCAACCACATCAGGATGGGGCTGGCAAGGCGGTTTAGAGGGTTCTAAAGTGCTTGCTACACAAACGTGTCAACCAGAGATCAAAGGAGAGAACCGAGTCCTGAAATTGTCCTCTGACCTCCACATGCATGCAGTGATACACATGTGCATGTGTGTGCACACACACACTAATAATAATAATAAATAACTAAAAACTGAGACACAGATGCACAGAGACACAGAAGAAAGTATCACCATGAAAAATAAAACATTTGCAGCTATGGTTAGACACAGAAAATTCAAAACTGTCTATAAACAAATTATTAGAACCGCTGTCTGAGTTTGGCAGGGCTCTGGACCCAAGGTCAGTGCTCGCAAACAGTCCACCTATTTCCGGATACTACCAAATCAAAATTAGCAACAACCAAATCAAAATTGATATCATAAAAAAATCAAATACTGGGAATGAATTTAGCAAAAAGTTTGCAACCTCTGCACTAAAGACTATAGAACATCACTGAAGGAGATGAAAAAGATAGATCTAAGATCACAAGCATGTATTTCCACCAAGGCACGGGTTCTAGAATATTCTTGACAGCCTTACTCAGAATTAGCCAAAGTAGTAAAATCAACCAATACCAATAAAATCAACAGTAGTATGGAAAATACAAAAAGGGCACAAACTGCTGACCCAGCATATTATATGGATATCTACATCAGACCCAGCCTATCATACAGATGTCCACACCTGCCCAACCTATCATACAGATGTCCACACCTGCCCAGCCTATCATACAGATGTC